TCGGATTAAGCTCGTATTTTGCAGTCAGGAAGATCATACTGCATGCTACAACTTTCATTAAGGGTCAAAAATCCAGTTATGACTCAAGGTGGCTCGAAACAGTGTGCTTTTAGGGTTGTTTACACTGTATTCGGTATTAATTTACAGTTTTGTGAAATTCATATAAAATAGATGGATGATCCAAATGAGATGATTTCAAAAGCATTAGACTCGTATGATACCAATCTACAACTTTCATTTAGACAATATAATCTAGATTGGTCTTTAAGTAAGATAAAAATGCTTAGAAATAAGAGGGTCGGAAACAGTTGGATCGAAAGAGAATAAGGTTAACTTTTTACGTTTGAGTTTCAATTCGTATCAAGTACATTAAGACCTAAGTAAATTTATTAGAATAGTTATATTATGGTTTCTATGCTTTATAAATAGTAACCGTTTATGCATTTGTTAGGCACGCGGGCAAATCAAACTTGATCGTGAATTTCCGTTTGATCGTCCGTTAATTGTCAAAGTCGGTTAAGGTACGGATTTCATATTTCACTTGACACGGGGATAGCCATTTGCATAAGGCTTCCTAATCCGGATAATCTGTGATAAATTCCGAATAATTTGTTTTGAATTTCTTTTATGCTTATCAAATGTTATTGAACTTTGTTTTCTTTTGAACTACGACTTATATTCTTATTCGGAACATGGATCATTTTGATCACTTGACTTGTTTTATTGCTTCATTTGTGAAACATTTTACAATAGACTCAATAACTGGAGCACCGGTATTGAGATGTTTCCATGGTGACTAAAACGATCATGGTGTCCTTATTTTTGTAGTCCTTAAAAGTGGACTTGATTATGTACCGGTCGAATAGAGGGCGTATGGATCGATCCTAGGAACCGTTATCGGATAATGAATTGTGGCCGTGGTTAAATTCACGGAGAGGATTGTTGTGTTGTGCTCACACCCCTTTCCTCACTTGTGCCTGAATGGACTGATCATCCTTTGGGAACAACGCGTCTTCGTGATGCGGTTTGGTCTTCGGACCCTTGATATGCTTTTGGGGCATTTTGACTTTATTTTGAATTATCACTTGGCTTTATAATTGCTT